TCAATCGACAGCGTTACTTATATTCGTAAGTGAGTAGGGTTTCGAGACTAGCAGTAAATCAGTGTAATGAGATGTATTCACCCTATTTCGTCTAAGGTAGGGTAGTCTCGAAACCCTACTCTCCTACGAATACAAGGGGTTTAAACTTTGCATTTCCAAATGAGCAAAATCATTCTATGGATATACTGGTTGAGTTAATTAACTTAACGGACAAGCTGCCAGAAGAGGCTTAGAATAGTATAGAGAGTGAAGCGATTCCTCATTTTGAAGAGTTAATTATCCCAAAGAAATCGTATGACTTGAATAAAGTTTGTAGATATTTGCACCAAAATGATCTGTTTGTTTTAAAGCCAGATAAAGTTGGTGCAGTGGTCATCATGAATAGGTTAAGTTATATACAAAAAATGATGCTTCATTAAAATGACTCAGAAACTTACAGACTTTTACTGAAGTATCCCACAGAGAGTCTTAATGCCAGACTTAGGGAATCGTTTAACGTTTGTGCAAGCAGAGGAGAAATTGAGAAGTGGAAAATGAATTCACTTCTTCAGATGGATGCTAGGGCACCTTCCGCTTACGGCCTCAAAAAGTACGCAAGGAAGGAGTTCCTTTAAACTTGATTATTAATAATAAGTGAACTGTGATGCATAGGATCACACGTTTCTTATGTAGACAACTAAGGAAATCGGCTGAGTATTGGAAATATTCAGTGAAGAATTCATATGAATTTGCTAGATTAATAGATAAACAGAGTATTGAAGAGAAGGATAATTTGGTTAGTTTTGATGTGCATGCTAACATCTCAGCTCATCAAGCTATTAAACCACTAACATTAAGTAAGCTCAATAAAGGATAGTCAGTCTGATGAGGCGTCTTACAATTCATAGAAAAAAAGGTGGGTTTTGTTCATTGTTTAAAGCGCGAATCCAAACCTCGTTGAGCCTCCTTACGAGGGGAAAAGTGTTAGTTGCCCCCAACACGAACACTCCATATGGATGTGGGTTGATCTCGTTGTCGCAACTTGGTCTTGTTGTTGTCAGGGCGAGTTAGTAGAACACACCTCGTCTGAAGTCGTCTTCCATATTAGTTGTCATGATGCCCAGCATCAGACAGTGGACTTGATACATTCTCAAACGGCAAAACTGACTGATGATGCCGGCGAAATGTTCGAGAATGTACCAAGTTGACAGTGTGATTCTGGGAATCATGACAACTACTTTGGCAGACGGCTTCGGACGAGGTGCATTCCACTAAGTCGCCCTGACAACAAGACCAAGTTGTGACAACGAGGCCAACCCACTTCTATAAATCGAAATGACCCTGCGACCATACCACAAGCCACAACATCTTGTTCTTCATATCTTCCATTAAACTGTCTATCCGGTTTGTTTCCTCCCGGGATGGATTGCTTCTCAATTGGCAATGCCTATTAGCAGATGACAACAGGTCTCTTTCTTCTAAGCCGTCAACCCTTTTGCATTTCTCCATGTCTCTACATCTCGATGCTATTCGGAAAAGTAGACATCCCACTTTGTGTCGACAGATGCCTAAATCGCGCACTTTCTATCGAAAGTCATCCGAGGCGATTTTGTACAGAATTGTTTGACTTTGTGTCCCGGCCTAAAGGCACCATCACTTGTCAACTGCCCATTCAACTTTTTCATCTACCGAATCGACTATTTTCTCTCGACTCCATTCAGTTTCGGCCACCTCGGCAACGGATGGGCCACATTTGTCCTCGTCTCCAAGCGCCACTTTGAGGCCCACCTCCCCCACCGCCTTGATGGATGTCCGGTCGCCGGTTGGCAAGGCCGGTGGCCTATCGGCCGCCTCGTCAGCAACGCTGCTGCCGACTCGTTCGTCCGGCCGGTCGTCGTCTTCAGCATCGCCGCTGCCGGCCGGCCCGAAACCGGCCACGTCGAGTCCCGCCCAGTCGGCGGCCCACGAGCTCACCGACTTCATCCAAATGAGTCCGGAGTATCGGACCGCCTTCTCGAGCCGGCCACGACTCATGCGCACCCCCGACACCACTTTACGCCCGGCCAGTCGGCAACAGACGCTGGCCTCGACGACCAGCAGCGCCGCTCAGCGCGGCCGGCCGAACCAGCGCGATCGGCCGAGATGATCTGGTTTTCTACTTTTTATAGCCTTTTCAGGCCCCTTCTGACGAGATACAGTCCATGCCAACTGAAGCCGGCTTATTGCATTCATTCGACGCAGCCACGTCGGCACATCAACTCCGCGGCTGTGAGCTTGTCGTGCTCAAGTGAAAAGTTATTTTCGCTTCCTGGTTCCTGATTGCTTTATCAAATAAGAGGGTTTTTTTAATTAAAACACTATACACAACAATGGTATGCACATTTTTCATTTTTACTCGGCTGAAATAAGCATTCTATGCTGCCTAAATGGTACAGAATGATGAAACAGTGATAGTTGCATTTTCACACAATCATACGGTTTCATGGAATTTGAAAAGATATTCTCATCCCGGCTGGACTGGACGGTACCACAGTTCGAGCTCGCCTGGCCTGGTCCCATTGTCACCTCCGAACAGATTCGAACCCCGTGACATGACACCACTGCACAGACGTGACTTTCAAGGCATGTCGATGAGAAAAACGTGTTTTTTTGCTTTTCTGCGAAACACACCATTCACTCTTAACTACAGGCCAATGAAAATCTTTCTTCAGCGAGAAATTTGAAAATGCACGGAATTTTCATTTGCCGTTGTGATGGCAATAGTCAGCATAGAAGTTGTTTGACCTTGTTTTCGCAACTTGGTCATGTTGGTATGAAGACTTAGAGGAACATACCTAGTCCTGAGTCCATTGTATGCATGATCATTTCCAAAGTTGAACCATGGACGTGGTACATTCCCAAACGCTTCGCCGGCATTGTCAGTGAGTATTACCATTCTTAGCAACACACAACAACTCGTCAAAGAGACAAGTGAAGACGATCCTTTGTGCTATTTTCTTTCTGGCCTAGGTTATTCGCGTTTCCTATATCATCCTTTCATACCTTCACTAGTACAAATTTACCGTGTTTATTTCGATGTAGTTTGGTGTGCTGCTTCACACTCAAACTGTCGTTCTCCTCCCCCTTTCATCCTTGTGCTGGGAATGTTGATCAGAGTCTGCTTTATTATTATTATGCAGTCCTCTTTCATAGTCTTATCACAGTCTCTCTCTTGCTGCGTGAAATCTGTCTTCTCTCTCACTCGTTCACCGATTTCACTCGACCCCTACCACATCATGTGTCCTACTCGAGGTGTTATTCGCCCTCCCCTAATTCGAGACGCAAGCCTCTGAGTGTGAGTGAGTGAGTGAGTCACCCTTTTGCCACATGTACCACGTATCTGATACAACAGACCTACCGTCAGCCAACTAGCTCTATCCTCGTTCTATCCCGAATACCCTAGTCTCTTGTCTGCCAACCCACAAATGTTATGGTACAGCTTGTTTTGATTTGGTTCAATGTTGT